ATCTATTTATTTAAATAATTGTATAGTTGTAAAAGTTTGGGTTTGGAGTCTGACAGTCCTGGGTTTAAAGCTTGACTTGTCATTTACTAGCTGGTAGACTTAGACAAGATTCTTTCCTCATTTTTAAAAAGGGGTTACAGTTCCTATTTATGAGACTGTTGTGCAGAATAAATGAAATAGTGTATGTGATACCTAGCAAAATATTGCATACAATAAACACTCAATAAACAGTTGTAATTTGTGGAGATATTTTCTACCTAAGGTCAGTAATATAATTTCAGTGATACACAAAGTCAGTTCCTTTAGAAGATTTGCTATCTTTCCTTTTTGGCCATTCTGGAAAAAATTCCAGTTTGAAGGGAAACAAAATTAAAGTAACTATTAGATTTAAACAATTTATCCTGAATCCTTGGGCTGCTTTCTGTTTAATCGCTCCACATTGCAGGTTTTAGTATTTTGGGACCATCCTTCCCTCCCAAAGGGAAGCTGGTCAATATTTTGTGAATCATAAGTGGGCCTACTTTCGTTGATTGATGATGTTTCTGAAAAGTACAGACAAGAGAAACTGTCTAAACGTGAAGAACAAAGGCACTATCAGTGTTACGTGAACCTTGAACTTCACCTGGAGGGCCGTGGTCCCCACTGTGAAGCGAAGAGCTCAGGTGTCCGGTACTATGCAGCATGTGCTCTTTTTGAGTACATGTGTTGGGACAGCCCCTGTTGCTATTCCTTTGGAGCAGCCTCTGAACGTAACTTAAAAAGTGAGCATTGTGGTATCTCTTTAGGAAGGTTAGAACCTGGTTATTGTCCTAAGTCTTTATGATTTTAAAAATCCTACTGCCTTGGTAATGCAGTTATTTACTTGAGTGTCCTTGTTAAATACCAAGAATCTCGATTTCCAGAAACCTATAAATACAAAAGAATAAACTTCGATGGTGGTGACAAACTCAAAAGTCTCTAAGACTTTGATAAGGAGGTAACTGGAGATGTGTTTGATATCATAGCACATTCACTGCAGCCATTACATACAGATAAGTTATTAGTAGGGAAATAAGTAATGTGATTTAATTTTTTTAAAAAGGATTATAGAGGAGTATGTCCAATATAATCCCACTTTTGTAAAATATTTAGAAAAAAGGGACAAATACCCAAATATAAGAGTGGTAAAGGGATGACAGATGACTTTTAGTGTTGTTTTTTTCCCCCTGAGTTTTCCAACTTTTCTTGAGTATGAGATTAGAATTTAAATACCAGAAATCTACCCAGCCAGGCGTGGTTCAGCAGCTGAGCATCGACCTAGGATCCAGGTGATCAGGGTTTGATTCCTGGTCAGGGCACATGCCCGAGTTGCGGCTCGATCCCCAGTCGAGGGCGTGCAGGAGGCATCCGATCAAGGACTCTCTCATCATTGATGTTTCTGTCTCTCTCCCTCTCCCTTCCTCTCTCTGAAATCAATAAAGATATATTTAAAAATAAATAAATACCAAAAACCTAGAAGGAATTAATCTAAATCCTGCTTGCTTTCATTGATGTCTTTATCTTCACTCTAGCTTCAAGGGTTTGGAGCTAAGTATTAGGAAGTCCCAATTTTTAATTTAGCCTCTGGCAAAATGACCTTGGGTAATCCTATTGACCTTGTGGGACCTCAATTTTCTCATCTGATAAAGTGAGAGGCTGGAGGAATGAGGTCCCTTCCAATTTTAAAGTGATTCTGCAGTCCTAAATTGTCTGAAAAAAAGTAGACTATGACCTAAGGGACGAGACATAGAAGTCTGAAGTCAAGCACACTGTTATTTGGAAGCTTACTGACCTACCTATCTGTCTAAAGCACTTGCTGTATTTTTAGGAAGCAGCAAAGCACTGTATCATATTAGGGTCAAATAGCTTGATAAAAGCGTAACATTCTTTGCCTCATCTTCTCAGTATCTGTTAAGCAAGGACCTTTTCTGTTTGACCTCAGGCTCTTAACTGAATTAATGATAATATACTTCATCTTTGCCTGGCACTTTATAGCTTACCACATTTTTTTACAATGTATTATTTGCTTTTCATAACAGGCAGGGAAGGCATTATTATTCCTGTATTTCAGATGAGGATACTGATGGCAATTGACTTTCCAGTTCAAATTGACTGTCAGTGTAGAACTGAGACTAGGTGGAACCCTGGACCTTGGAAGATCAAGTGCTTTTGTCTCTGCATCTTACTGCCTCTCTTTTAATTTTTAAAAAATTTCCTAGTGCTTTACATTTCCTGATATGACTGTTTTCATTCTTACATGTGAAGAGCCGCCGGGTTTCTCAGTCTTAAAATTTGAAAGTTGGGTGAGACCTAGCAGCCCGTTGCCTTTATGTAGAGATACAATGCAGTTCCACATTTTAGAAATGAGGGAAATGAGGCCTGTAGTGGCCAAGCAACATGCTCTGTATATCACATTGACAGAGCTAGGACTCGGACCGGCTGCATTAGAAGGAAATCAGAGGTAAATTTTTTTTTTTTTTGCAGAATCAAGAAGTGGTATTCTTTGAAAGTTATTTATTTGAATATTATCACCAAAGTGCAAGGATAATCAGCCTTTCAGTAGCAGTTATTGAGCACCTACTGTATCCAAGGCTTTCTTGTTTTTTTAATTATTGCTTGGGAGCACAGCCAACTAAAGCAGTGTGGAGTTTTTATGGGTGTGCAGATGGCTCTGTTCTGTCCTTTAGGTACATTTAATTGGGCATTTTATTTTGGGTATAAACAGTGAGCAAGGCAGGTTTTTACATTGTGAATTTAAGTTATAAAAATCCCCCCCCCCCCAAAA